GCAAAGGAACCAAACACAGCATCAGGAAAAGCATGGGCAAAATACTTTCTTCCTGCAGCACTTTATTTTTATATTATTTTTTTAGGGACGCATGAAATCCTATTAGTATTTTTAACACTCCCCCTTTTTTTCCCCCATTCTTTTGCTCAGTTAGATCAGCTCCTTTTGTCAGGATGAGTTTAAATCTGGGTCCACTGTGTTAATCACCCCCCTTTCTTCTTTCTGGCACTTCCCCTCCAGGCATTTTGCCTCTTTAGGAGATTAAGCGACCAAGTCATCTTGTTGCTCTAACATGTCCTCACTGGAGCAACATATTAACACAACTCCTCTGCAAAAGAGCCCTCTTTAGAAGTTTGCTGCAGGGATGACAAATTAACCCAGCATGGTGTCCCACACATCTATCTCAGTACAAATTATTAGTGTAATAGAGGTTTTAGTTATGCATTTATCTAGTAATTATTGAAGGGCTGTACGGAACGGAGCTGAGCAATCGTGGCCCTTTATGAGGCAAGCTCGGTGGGTGGCCTTACAGTTAATTTAGGATAGGACTGTCTAAGCAGTTCACTCACACACAAATTAGCTCAACAGCCTGCTCCTTTAAATATTTCCTATGTCACAGGCTAACTCTTGACAATACAACAAAGGTAGAGTTTTAATTACACGGTCGCTGACTTTTGTTTAGCTGGAGCTTTAACCCTTTGCAGGTCTCGCTCTCTGCCCTCCCTGCCCGGGCTGCAGCAGTTTGGGATTGTGGCATGGCTAAAGCCTGACCTTGAGGCCATCTGTTGGGAAACTGCTTTTCCTTCAGCACCAGGTTGCTCCAAAGTGAGTGCAGAAAATCAAAATCTTCCCCTGCTCAGTCAGCTGTCCTGACATTGTAAACTGGATCATGCAAACTCGCGTGATGGTCAGCACTGTGCTGTTCGTGGATTCCTTTCCCTTTGGTGTGACTCTCCTGGCTCCCTGACATCATTTTCTGTGTCAAAGGGTTTGTTTTTGTCAAAATTCAGAGGGAAGTGGAAGGTGACACCTCTGTGCCAGCTGACAGCACCAAGAAGCAGCCTTACAGGGGCTCTTACAGAATGGGACATCACAAAATGTCTTTGTTCAGGGTACACCAGGAGCCTTCACTTTGATTCACTCGGAGCTGGCTGACAAGACAGCGAGCAGGCACCAGGACTTCGGTGACCCAGCAGAGGATGCTGATAGAGAAGGACACAGTTTCTTTCCAGATATGTGACATAAAGGTTTTGCCACTTTGGCATGGACAGAGAGTACTGTGCTGCAGCGTTTCCCTGGCAGGCCTTGTCCTGATGAAAGTCTAAGTGGCAATGGTAATTATGGAGGAAATTAATCTAATGGAAACCAGTGCACTGGTTGACTTTCATCCCTTCTTCTCACACACCCCCTTCCTTGGGTTCTTGCCTTCGTGCTGTATTTCTTGCTTCTTGTAATTGTGTTTCTCCTTCATTTATCTTCCTAACACACCATCTCATTGTTTTTGTTTTTATTTTTCCTTTCCTTGCCTTTTCTTTCTTGCTTTTTTGGCTTGCAAGATTCACACTGTCATATTCCATGGGAATGCTTGAATGCTCTGCAGCACAGGCTGCTGTACATCCTGGCTTTACAAGATCGTGGTCAATTTAACGTTTCAGCCAGCTCCAGTTAGAAAGTCACCAGAGTGTAAGGAGCAATACATGGAAGGCTAAAACCATTTATGTAAATGCTGCTGTCACCCATAGTATTTAAATCCTTCACTGCCTGGTGAAGAGTTCAAGTGCTCTGGGAAGCTTTGTGAGATGCCAGCAATCCACGGTGGCTTTGCAGTGCTGGAGTGCTGTGGTGAGCTATGCTGACCACCAAATAATCTCATTTGTAGGTAACAGAAGTATGCCTGAGTAGGAGAGAGATCTGGCTGCTTGAATTTTCAAGGCTTTGAAATAAATTCTAAAACTGATAGTGATGCTAAAGCCACCCTATAGGTGATCGATTTACCATCTGCCAGACACTGAATCCTAACCACGCTGGTCCAGAGAAGACATATGGTGCATTCATAGAGTCATGCCCAAAAAACTGCCATCATCAAGTGAGGCTCCATGAATCACTTTGCTAGCTTATCACCAAAGAAACTTGGATCTTGCCACCATCTGTTGGAAGTAGTGAGGAGTCACTGAAGCATTGGCATCCCTGCGCCAGCACTTGCTGCACATCTGGTCTGCTGGTCAGCCAGCTCGGATCCTCTCTCCTGGCTACTGCCCAGCTGGGCTGGGCACTGGCAGCAGCACCAGAGCTCACAGGAACCAGGGCACAGCCTTCCCTGCACAGCACAGCACATCCAGGCAATTCCATGAGAGCAGAGGTTTTCCAACTGGCTCGGGTGGAGCAGCTCAGAGCGAGGAAATCCTCTCAAGGATCTTACTCCTCCTCCAAGGAAGTTGTGTTTCCAGAATGACTCATTGTGGGGACCACAGGGAAGGGCATTCAGTACCCTGGGACACCCCAGCATCAGATGTGCAGTGTGCTCCAAGGGATGCTTGGAAGCGTGTGAAAGATTCGGGAATATTCCCGAGAAGTTATAAATCGCTGGTTGTCAATGCCAACACCTGCCATGAATAGTCTACAGCTTCTTCTCTGCTGTCTATTTTGATCATGCTTTACAAATGCATCTCATACACACATCCAAGTGATAAACTTGCACATACGAACATGAGAAGGGGATGGAACCTCCCTGTGATCGTCGTGTTGGCTGAGGAGCTTACTCTGGTAGTGACCTACTTACTCACAACTCCCCTTCCTCTGAAATCCCACTGCACAATGGAGATTAAATTCTGCTCTTTGTTTCCAAAGACCCCTTGGAACGACCTGCCACTGACCATTTACACAATGCACCTGGGTCCAGAGGGAATTTAGCCTGTGTGTGCTGTGCCATCCTCCCTGCAGAGGCACAACTCCCAGTCACTCCTGGTGGAAGTGAATCTCTCAATTATATCCTCTTATACCACAGCATTATACTCTTTATGTTGCCACTTCTGATACCTGAAAAGCTTCTCTCTTCTGCTTACTGTCCCTAAAGTACGCCGGAGGCGATGGGATAAAGAACAAAGCTGGATTTGCAGAAAATAATCCATCTCAGTGTATCACCCTTTACTAACAGAACGATTGTTGCAGCAGGGAAATAAACACAGCCAGTGTGCTGTGGAAGAAGAATACTGAGGAGGAATGTCCCAAAAGAACAAAGGATGAAGTCTGGGACAAGATTTTTTCAGGATGATGGCACTTAAAGAAACCATGGATGGATTCAGAGGGATTTTTTTCCCTGAAAGTCAGTGAGACTTTGTTTGTGAATGAGCATGAAATAGAAGATGCCTCTAAATGATGTTGCAGAAGAACAGTTTTGGTTAACTTTTTAGGAACCATGACAATTTAAAAGCTGTGTTGCTTCTTTGCGGAGTTAGTAAAGAACATCTCCTTCCAAACAAACAAAATGTGGGACTGTAATGATTCTATTTGCTTCTCTGGCTCCCACTGAATGTTCTTCTCACGTAGCCAGTAGAAATCCCTCAGTGCACAGAAAAAGTCTTGTGAAAACAGACTGTAGATGAGATTTAAACAAGGCCTCACCACTGAGACATTTCCTCTCTCAACCACACAAGAATCCAAAGCACAGAGGGTCTAAACAGGGGCAGACAAAGGCAGTCAATGATCTTAAAAAATTAGTGTGAGGTAAAACACAGCTAAATAAAGAAAGGCCTATTAACTAATCAATCAACAACTGAAATCTAAAAGGCTGAACTTCTAAAAGACAGGAATTGGGAGTCAGCTGATGTGCACTGAATAGAATGTTAATGGAAGCTTCATATTAGTCATACTTGTATCACCAATTATCAAGGCTTTTAAAAGAGGACATATTTGCCAGACAGCTCGGATCCAGATTTCAAGGGAAATCTCTGTAGAGCTTAGATGCCTGAATTTCTTCTGAGGATCTAGGTGCATGTCTAAGGGTAATGAATAATTTTTATGGATTAACCACAACAAATCAAACTACAATAAGCAGATTTAACAAAGCACAAAAACCTCCTGAAGTGCAAGTCTGACCTTGCTTCAACTTTGTGCAACTCCACCATTTCCCACCACATCACCTGGATGTGCAGACAAAGAGGCTCCTCCTGGTTTATGCTGCCCTCAGTAAAACCACGCTGATGCCAAAGAGACATTTCCAGATAATTTCTAGGATGAACTGCTAATATGCATTTTTATGCTTCACCATTCGACCCATTCCTTAATAATCTTCTCTAAATGAGACAAAATTTCATAGCAGAAAGAAATGTGTCACAACCATTCACTCCTATTTTTATATCTTCCAAAGAGGTTTGTAAGAGGATTCATTCATTTGTGTCTCTTCTATGCCCAAGTGAGTTCCTTTTCAAACGTGAACTCTGTGTTGCATTTAGTTTTCTAGGCTAAATGCAAATGCATCTTTCTAACAAAAATGTATAAACACAGCTAGACCCAGAGGACATCTCTTTTACTTGGAAAGTCAGTCGGAAGAGTACTGAGAAGGAAACCAGCCAAAGTATTGCAGGAACCAACTTCAAAGGAGTCTCCTAACAAGGCCCACTGACACCAGCAGCACAAGAACAAATGACTGGCAGAAGGAAGTCCACAGAGCTGGAAGACAGGCGTGGGTCACAAGTGATGGATGGGTCCCTGTCTCGAGCAGTTGCACCGAGTCACCGTGATGGATGGCCACGAGCAGAAGACACATCCTGTCCCTTTCCCCGCACCCTCTTCCAAACAAAACCCCGAGGCCCCAGAAACCGGCGTTTCCACCTGGGCTGGCCGTCGGGAGCTCTCCCAGGAGCGGCCCGGCCTAAGAGAAGCGGCCTGTGGAGCCCTAAGCCCTGCAGGGTGTGGAGCAGCCCCTCGCGGGCGGTCCCAGGCGGCGACGGCTTTCCTGGAGCGGCCCTGGCTGCCCTCCAGGCTCTCGGGAAAGGCCTCACCTCTGGGTCCTGTAATGACAGGTCGATGGTGCTGTGTGAAAGCCGTTCCGAGGGAGGAGGTCTGCGAAGGCGAGGGACTGCTGAAACCAGACTTCTCTGACTTCTTTAATGTAGTTGGCGATGGCATTCCTGGCAAGAATGATTGATAAGTGCAATTTAATAATGCTAGGTCATGGAACGACAGCCTATGCATTGTGAAAGGGGGTGCGGAAGCGGCTAGACACACTTAAAGGACAAATGAAATGCAACGCAACAGCAAGCTGAAAGCTCACTTTTATTTGTGGGGTTTTGTTTTTGTCGAGGCAGAAGCAGCCATGGTTTGCTCTGAGCCATGAGTACTAAAAGGCAGCCATATTTTTCTTATAAAGCTGAAATACAGACAAGATGCAGCTTATTATTGCTACTGAAACCTACTCTGCTTTATTTTTAGAAATCTGTAATAGCTGGAGCATTTGGATTTTTACAGGTTTTTTATGAGTTCTGTCTTTCACTCCTTGGTTTTAGTAGATTATTGCAAATGGATCTTTTAAATGTGCCGCACGACTCAAGGCACAACCAGAGAATGGAGTTCTCTGAGTTCAAACTCTTCCTCCCCTCACTCTCTCGACTTCAAAGGTATTTGAAAGTTATACATTTATGTGGCTCTCTTTCAGTTTCAAATTTTTTTAAAAGGTGAATGGTATTTATGTCTGCACTGGAATTATTCTGGAGTTGTTACAATGCCCTTGAACTGCATCAAAGGCTCCCAGTGAAAATCAGAGTTAAGTCGTCACTGGCTGAAACCTCTGCCATGGACAGGCAGAAATGGTGTGGTACTGACTGGTTTGGTCTACAGGGTGAGAATAACTCCTGTTGATGCCATAACATAGCTGTGGTATCAAAAAAAATAATGGAATGAACATATTGCAACGGGCTTTTAAAGCCCGAGCATTTCTGTGTATGGTAGATGCTTGAATGGAATAATTTTACAAGATATAAATGAAAAGTATGCATGTTTGTCTCTACTAGCCTATATTTTTGCAGTTACAGATGCATCTGGGTATTCTGATTACCAGAATGTATCCTGAAAACTCAAGATTTCCAGTATTTACAGCCCATCAGGCATTCTGCATATCCATAAGGATATAGCAAAACAAAGGTGGGGATTTCAGGCAGAAAAGCAAAATATCACATAGTGTGCAAGTTGAACTTCCACCAGCAAAGTAATTTAATTTTATTTCCAACTCTGTGTTTTATAGTATTTAATTGTTAAAAAAGTAAAGAGAGAGGCCTGGACAAGATTATCTCTGGCCTATATTATTAACTTTATATTTAATAAGACTAGTTTTATAGTCCCAGGGATGTTGATTGCAATATGCAGGAGCCTTCTTGTACTTTATACTCTGCACTGCTGGGCCTTAATGGTTTCAATGAGGCTTTGGAGTTTATATTTCTGTAAGTTAAACAAAGTGAGGGAATGGTTTGAGTTCCAGTGTTGTACTTGCAGCTTTCTGCCTCAAAACTTGTTTGCTACAGGGTTTGCTGTTATGGTGGCTTTTAGGAAAGGTTACAGACTTAACATTTGAAAAATCAAAGCTTAGAACTGACTATGGTGCAAGAAAAATATTGGGTTGGAGTGTAATTTTTGGGGTTTTTTTGGAGTTTTTTAAAAATTTTGTTGTTGTTTGGTTTTTTTTATGTGGTCTTAGGGACTTTGGAGTAGGAACAAAAGCAAAGATTAATTCAGTTTCGGGGGAAGAGAGAAAAGGAGATTGAACTGAGGTGTTTCAGTGAAATATTCCAGAGCAGCCTGCTGAATTTCTGCTCCAGTGGGATGTGACTTAGTCATGGCATGTCCACATTCAGGGCAAGGACACTCAGAGGAATTAATGGTGCTGCTGACCCAGATTTCCCTGTGATGGAAGAACCGGGGATGGAAACACCAAAGGAGTGTCAGCCCCAGCGCTAAGTACAAAATATTGTGGACACTCCAAGAGACTTTTATGCACAGGGGAGGTCACTAAAATTTTCCAGCATGGGATCTGCTCCAAGAGCAGGGTTGTGCAGGCCATGAGCAGGGACCCAGGTGGGACATGAGTTACCTGAGCCCTGGGCAGGGATGAGATCTCAACTCTGTGGCTCAGGAGCTCCCTGGCCACAAACCCTCTTCAGGGCAAAGATAATAAAGCTTCTAAAAGATATGAAACAGCTTCTCTTTTACCCCTGTGTTAAAAAAAAAAAAAAAAAACCCTGCAGGACTCATCTCTAAACCACAGCAGGGAGAAGGGGCAGAGGGAGTGGAAAATGGTTAAAAGCTGCAGCAAGTTTGTGTGATTGTGTCCAAACACTGGAACTTGAGGAGCTACAAAAAAGGTGATGAATGACCTTGAGTGTGGCAATGCTGAGCAGTGTCATGTTCATATGGGGATGGGTTTTCTAAGGTTGAGGCAGAGGCTTTCATGTGAAAATAGAGATTTTAATGTAACCCTGTGCAGGGAAATTGAGTATAAAAACAAACTGAAGCGCTGATAATTGGTGCTACTTCTCTTGCTCTATTTGTTTGTTATCGTTCTGATTGCCATTATTATCACAAGTTTGGTTCATTTATTTATTTTTTTTCTGGGGTATTTTGAAATGTATTGGTTTGGAACAGTCCAACTATACCATGTTTTTGTTTTGTTTGGGGTTTGTAATGACACATTTTATTTTGAGTGATCACATCCATCAGATCTCAAGAAAAAGATGGCTGCTTCCTAGTTCAGAAGAATATGCAAACAGGAGCTTAATTACATCACTTAATATTGACCAGGAGAAAGAAGAAGATGAGCTTGCCAGCTCATTTCCAAAGCATGTTTTGTCCTTTAAGAGGGGAGGGTATGACAGAAAGTTAGGCAGTGCAAAGCAATTAGCATCATTCACATTTTATGTTGCGCTAGCATGGTGCTCTAGCAGCAAAATTCAAACATTCTTTGAATGGGTTAATAAAAGAAGAAATACAGTCGGCATGCAAGAAAAAGGTTTCCAAGAACAAGCCAAAATATGTCCCATTCTTCTAAATTTATCACAGCCATGTCACATTATCCTTGAGACTGCCAGGAATGTCAATTTTTTTGCAATTTAAAAAAAATATCTCATTTAGCACCATATGTTTGGTTAATGTGCCTGATATATCCTGCGTATTCTTTAGTCCATCTATTCCTAATACTCATTTTCTTCTTTTTTTTTTTCCTCCCCTTGCTAAGCCATATGTTACGATGCTGGTCATTCTATCGAAGCTCCTTTCGGGAGCTGGGAGCGAGGGGACTGCTGTTTAATCACCCAGAAAAAACTTTGAATTCTACAAGTCTCACTCAGGTGAGCAGTCTCAACACTTGAGTTAGTTGTGGGTGCCTGGTGCCTATGAAAATCAGGCCACCTATGAGGTGGCACAGTGTATGTTAACTGTGAGGAAGGAACTAAAGGTAGGTGGCTAAACATTGAATTAGGTGTTTAATTTCTGGCACCCACGTTTGAGACTCTTGGCTAGTTTTAAGGGTCTTCTGCTCCAAACCTAATGAGTTTTAACACATTTAGCGGCCTCCAGTCCGCAGGGCCCCTCCTGTGCTGCTCAGGGATGCAGGAAATTAAAAAGTTCAGGCTGCAGGTAGCTTGGGCAGAGCTGGGGATGCATCCCGGGAGGACGGGGCTGCCTTGCACAGCTTTGCTCAGCGTTGGTCCCGGGAGCCACTGCGCTGAATAGCAGATTTCAGCCCTTCACAGCACCCTGAGGAAGGGGCAGTGCCAGCTCTGAGGACACCCCTGAGCCCCTGCTCTCCTCTCTCTGCTCTCTGGTGCAGGGCAGCAACAAATTGCAATCTCCCCCAGCCCGTCTCAGCTGCGCTGGCCGGTGGAGAGGGAACGGAGCCAAGGATCCTCCCCGTTCCCTGCCTCTCTCCATCCATCTGCTCCGAGCAAGGAATAAACAAGAACAGCCAGAACACAACGGCTGGGTAACCCAGGTGGGGGTTAAAAGTGTTCCTTACTATTCTGTGGGTAGGACTCTTGTCCAAATCACAGCCACACCTGGCGCTTTTAGGGAGCGCAGCTTTCAGAATCCAGGTCTGAGTCTCCTCTCAATGTTATTTAGAGTGAGAGAGACGAAAATCAGACTTTGTCTATTTTAATCTTATGGCAGCGTTTAACTACAGAATAAATGGAGAAGTTAATTGCTAAATAAAAGAAGAAAATAAAGGGATTTGTGGCTTAATAGCAGATGGAAGCCTGAGTGGGTGTGCTACTTTAACTTACTGTACTTGCGTTCATGTGTTTCTATATGTATGCCAAACATATATGGTCTGAGCCTGCTCCCATTAACATAAATCTGTTTTATTCACTGGACAGAGGGAGCCTGATCAAAGACCATGATGGTGCTAAATGGAACAAGATGTGTACTTTCGTATTTTTTTTCCAAAAGGAAATATTAATTTGACATCGGTTTTTCAGTCGAGAAGAATTTTAATTGCAGTACACAATAAGCAGAAAATTCAGACAACAATAATCTTGAAACTGTTAGCAGCATTATATTTCTATCAAGGAATTTGTGCGCTTTTTTTTCAACATTAGAGCTTTCTGAATTTTCATTAATTTGGCATTTCCCTAAACACACGAGTTATTATTTTGTTCATTCCACATCATGCATCACACCCTTCTGCTCAAATGCATAATGCAAGCGCAAATGGGATCCTTGTCCTTGGGAGACTCTGGTTACTGGAGCCATTGGATGTTGAAGTCCCGCAGAAAGACTTTCCAAAACTCTGCACTTCGCAAACCTCCAGCCCAAGTTTAATGAGTGCACAGGAAAACTTCGTGTTCCTCATCTTCTAAGGGGCACTGGAGCACTGTGGTGGGTTTAATTCCTCTACCTCCTTATGTTTGCCAGTACTAGAAACGCACCACATAAGAGTCTTCCTTGAGTACAGCTAAAGGTCTTCAAATGTTCATGTATGAGGCTGATATATATTTAAATGGACCAGAAAATGATGCGTGAGAATTGAATGCACGAATCCTCCCCAGAACAAACAAGCATCTGAGAACCTCTTTTCCATGTACCTGCCACATGCCTTACTAAAAAAATCAGGATTAACTCTGATGGAGTCAGCGGAGTCACAGCAAGAGGAGAACAATCCCCCTTCTCTCCAAATCTACAGCTGAAAATCCACCCAATTTCACTTGATTAATTACTGACATTATTCTACCTGCACACATCTCACACAACAACTCCATCTCTTGTTAGCTGCGTTTGCAGACCAGCTCGTATTCATCTCCAAAGACCTTTGGATAATTACCCCAATATTCCCAGCAGCTCTCTGCCACTAGACTCTTGATGGAGATTTCATAACAAAAGCTATGAGTGAAACATGGTCTGGATCCTCCTTCCCAAGGCACACTAGGAAAAGGAATCATGGAAGCTCAGGTATTACCAGGTGGACCATGAACTCGACAACATGCAGAACAAACAGATGATGCAGAAAAACAAGCTGGCTGTGGAAGGAAAAAAACCTGAATATATGGGAAGCATTTTTCAAGGAATTTTCATCCTTCTGTGTGAATTATTCCAACAATTCCACTGAAATCAGTATCAACAGAAAGGCTGATCAGCTGATCTATTTTTTTCCTTTAAATTCCTGAGGAATTCTTAATTTCAAGCTTCTTGAAACGTTGACGGCTACCCTCCTGCCAGTCATAGCAAGTCTGTTCAGTTTAGTGCTGAGCAAACTTTGTCATCAGCCGAGATACGATCACACTGACTGCCATCCATCAGTTTACTGTATTAATTGCTCCAGTATACACAAAATACAACACAGATGGAAATTCACTCATCCTAATGAAGTGCTCTTTAGTTTCTACGCTCTGAATGGGTACTGGCTCCCCTGGTTGCAGCCGGAGTTACCATGATCACTGATTAACTACCTGCCAGCGGAGCACCTCGCTTCACAAGGCTAAATCCAGCTTAATAAACAGTGATTTTTACAGAAGAAAAATGAAAGCTCCCCCTCTATCCACTTATCAAACTGCTGCATATGCATCACCAACACACACATCCAGTTTCCTCAGAACTCGACATCTGACAGATCATCAGGAAAACAGAGCTAATCTATCCGTACCCATCAACATCGTATCATAGGTGACTGCCAGATACTTAAGAAGCCATCCAAAAGAAATGTCACAACTCTTTTTCAAGACACTACAAAAGAAATGTTCCAAATAAAATAAAGCAAATGCACGTACAAGTAAATGAGCCAAAGAACTTAATAAAAAGAGATTGATTAAAATGAGGACCAGAATGTTCAAAAAGGACTGAGAGAGAAAGAGAGAGAGAGGTGCCAAAGGCGCATTAAATGGATTCAATGGCTTTAGGTTTTAAATGCTTTTGGACTCCTCAGCAATTTTTAGCCAAAAATGATAATTCACGTTAGAATCAAAATTCTGATGTCACTTAGGGAAAGAGAAGGTTGAAATTTCTCCTTTGCAAATGAGCACAGATCCATTTACGAAGGAGAAATATCACTTTATAGTGATGGACAACCTTGCCTACAGAATTTTAAAGCCGAGCACTTCAAAATTCACAATTATTTTTAAATCCTACTCCATGAAAGTCTGCCTAAATTGTTTGGTACAATGTTCTCACAGAGGTATTACCTTGTCTGCTTGTATCTTTGTTTACAGCATCATCTGGATTGTTTTAGGTCGCTTAAGTTAGGCTTCATTCCTGCTCTGCCACCCAAGCAGTTCTTTCAATAACTAATAAACTAGTACTCAAATCTAACCAATTTCTTCAAAACATAATTGCATGAGTTATATATTTAAAAAACTTTAATGAGAAGAGCAATAAACAGCAGGATAACAGTTCAGTTCTGCCTTTGAGTTAATGTCAGCTTCGGCATAATTTTCCATTGTATAAATATATATTGCGAGGAGAATAAAAAAAAAATAAATTTCTAATGACGTCTTTAGACATCTCGTCTAAAATTCATGACTACATTTGTTTCATTTCAAATGCTACTTGAGAGTTTTTCAGCACACTTGGCAGATTAGATATAGCAGCAGGGACAAACTGCAGCCATCCATAGGAGAATATACCTTTATGTGGGTGCTTTGGGGCTGGAACATCTATAGCTGCAAGGCAAAAAATGCCATCATAAATTTGGATGGCATTTACAAAGCCCTCTAAAAAGTCTTTGCATATGATTATAGCTGAGGTATGATATTTTTGCAAGTAAAAGACCCAGAATAGATTTATGTTTCAACTATATCTTCCTGAAGATGCATATGGATCCTAAATTGCGAGTGATACTAAAGGGAATCTTTAGTAACTGAAGAGGGTGGAGTAAAATTTTTGGTTTTTTTTTTAATTTATTTAATTTTCTTTAAAATCATTTGCTCATTATTTGCATGTCATCAAACCATCATTGGCTACCCAGGCTATATATAACAATGATGGCTGCTGAACGCCCCAGGCATGAGATGGAGATGGGTAAATATGCAGATTTTCTGGACTTGTGACCTCAGTTACTGCATGGTAATGCTTTCAAATGACTTTTATGATGACAAGACTAAGTTTGGTGCTAATATTGGTTTTGAAGATTTAATCGGTGTACAGTGCCATTGAACATGTGTTTTAATTAATAGAAGAGCTGTGGGCAGGATTGAAAATAACCCAGGTGATTTACCACTGTAAAGCCACCTGATTTCTGCACAATTTGAGGTGAACAGTTTATAGGTTATTCCAAAGGAAGAAAGAGTTGCAAACTGAATTTGTGTGCATTGTTCCAAGAGATTTATAATTTGGCAGGTTGAGAGTGGACTCATGGAGCTGTTCTGTTTTGGTGTCCAGTGGTTCCTGGTGTTTTCACCCTCTGACAATTTGACAGCCACGGGACTGACCCCTCCACAACACCAGAAATAATCTGTAGCTGCTGTGCTCCTTCCTGGCAATGTCCACGTCCAGCTGCAGGCTGGAATGGCTCTGGGCACCTGCCACCAGGCAGAGACACTGGAGCCACTTCCCCACAGGTGACAGCAGCCAGGTGAGCTCAGCCTCCCTCCCTGCATCCCCAGCGGCTCCAGGATTCCCTGGGGAAGGCAGAGCATTGCACTTTGGCTTTGGCATCGTTTCCAGAGGAGCCTGGATGGCCCTGCTGCCTGCAGGAATGCTCCTGGGAGCTGCCCGAGGTGAAAGCAGAGAGGCAGAGGGCTCCCAGGGAAAAATCCCCCTGAAAATCCCATGACAACGGGCACGGCAGAGATGATATGGGAGTGCCCCCTCCAGCACCCTGGCAAAGTGCTTGGCACCAGCTCTGCCCTGGCTGGACACAGGAGAATCCACAGCAGAGGGGGCACCTGGCACATCCCCCCCAAACCACCACAACAACTCTGTGCACCGAGAACGAGAGAGAGCATTGGCATTGTTTGAATAAGCACACCCACCATGAAGTGCTCCGCGGTGTTCGGGGTTTCTTAGATATCCTGATTTTATAAAAGAAAGTAAAAGAAGAAAAAAGAAACAAGGTGAGAGAGAACACTATCATAATTTTGTAGCAAGCAGGATACTGTGTGAAATCTTGGCCCAGTGAAGTGATAAGGGGGAAGCTTTCAGTTTGCTTAAGGGAAAACTTACGAGCAAATAGAGAAATTACCAAAATACCACATTGCAGAAAATAGGTGCATTTAGGTTCAATTAAGCTGTAAAAAGGAAAATGGCACTTTAGCTTACAAAAACCAGGGGACACAGGGAGCTATCAGAAGCAACTTTGCAAGATTTGTGTGCGTGAGGATGCTGCTTCACTGGACCAAGAAAGCTACAGTATGGGACAGGATTTTTCTTTTATCAGACACTTTTGCTAGAAAGCTTTGTCCAACCTCAGAAACTGCTGCTCTGGCATTATGAAATAATCCTACATAACTTGATCTCATGAGCTTAGGAACACAGAAAAATAGCCATGCCAAATCAGATTACAGGGATCCACCTAGTCCAGAATCCTCTCCCTGACAGTGGGAACTAATGGATGCCTAGAAGAGAGTAAAAAACCAGGGAAAGCATACAGTGGTAATTCTCCAAAACACTCTCCCAAATGATTTGTCATTCAAGGACTTCTAGGACAAAGTTGATATCATGCTATTGAAGCTGCTCGAATCCAAATGCACAGATTTACATCCCCCCCTCCTCCCCCTTTTTTTTTTTTTTTTAAATTTTTTTTTATTTCTACCCCCATGAGATTTCTACCAGTCACACAGAAAAGGTTTCACAGTTTGGTGCTGGCAAGTCCAGCCTTCTTGCCACTAACTCAGAACGAGCTAACAGCTTTCAAAAGCCCAATGATGTTATGTGTATAAGAGCATCCAACACTTTTTCCTACATAAAAAAAGTGACATGTGTGCTGAGGTGCTCTAAGTGTAAATACTTTGGGAGATTTGATTTTTTTAACCTTTTTTTTTTAAAAAAAAAGCAAAAAAAAAAAAAAAAAAGCAAGGATCTGGCTGTAAATTGATATTAACATTTTTCAGTATATGTGTAAAACACATGTTTCAGAAGAATAGAAGAGAGAAACTGTCACTCACTGGGAAGCTTTAGAGCTATCTGGCTCCCTGGGAAACTGCATGCAACTATTCTGGTGTCCAAGGGTTTGACCAGTGAGTTTCCTCTTCCTGCAAAGAATGAATGCAGAAGTAATAGAAAGTCTGAGGGGGAAGATTTTAGCAAATGGCTAAAGATAATCCTATTCTGCCCACTCCAGCAGGTAGGAAGGAGGTGGTGGTGGTGGAAGAAAAAGGGAAAAGAGGAGGAACGGCTCCGTGTCCCTCCCAGGAGCTGGCGCAGGGAAGGGAGCACCGGAGGGACCCAAAGGCTGCAGGCAGCTGAGCCCAGTGAGATCCTTTGTGTGTGCTCACCCCAGCCCAGCCACACAAAGCCAGCACGTTCTGCTCTGATTCTCAGGGCCGGGCTGTGGCTCCTCTTTGGGATGGAGCACAGGGACTCAGCACTCTGGGCTTCACTAGCACAGAAATCCCAAAGGCCCAGACAGCAACACTGGCTTCTTAAGCATCCTTACTATCCACTGTTCACGGGGGTTTTGAAAAATATTTTAATTTTAATTTTATTTTCTAATCAAATCAGTGCCTACACATGAATTTTTTTTGCTTCATTTATTAAAAAAATCAGTGAAAGCAGGTTTTTTTTTTTTTTAAAAAAGCTTATCCTTACATTTTTGATGGCATATTGACTTTGTAAGAGTCTACAGGCAGGAGTGATATATCAGGGAGTCCCTATAACTTTACTTAAAGCAAAAATTAGAAAGTGATCGGAAAGTTTTATAGAGGAGAGCAGAAACATAATTTTAAGCCTCTTAAAATTGCCTGAACTGTGAAATCAAGTAATGAACACTAGAAAAGGATCTGTCAGCTGGAATCAAAGCTTAGACTAGTCAGCATTTTCTTCCTAAACCTTATTATGGCAAAGATTTTTCATCTCTGCACTCTGCTCAGCCCAACAAATAAACCAAGTTGACCTCCACCTGTTACCCGGTGAAGTTGGCTGTCATCTCTGACTAAACCCTTTTCTTTCCCTTCAAAGCCCTCGGCACCACTGAGAAGGTGGGAAGACACAGCTGTGCACTGACTCAAATTGATACCAGTTCATAACCAGACAGCGTTTCACAGTACAAATTACAAGCAACAGAGGAGAGGAGGGAGGGGGGGGAAAAAAAAGAGGGGGACAAAAAAAATGTAGTGCCAATGAATTCTGGAAGGGGGCAACATTTTTCATCCATTTAACAATGAGATTTTCATAAAAAGAAGGGGTTTTTTTTTTGTTTTTTTTTTTGGTTTTTTTTGTGTGTGTGATATTATGGACGAGCATTTGAGGCAAGGAACATTTTGCTTATGCCATAACAATGAACCTGTGCTAACACCACAGAGGAAGGACTGAAGAACATAATGGAAGCTATTTGTGTTGCTTTTATATTTCATAACTTGAATGCATTACACTGGTTCAAAGAGGTTCAGCTCCAATTGCACGTGGCTTTCTAGACTTAGGAACAAGTCGCAGCTATGTAATGCAACGCTGCTAAATAAAAAAGTATTAAAGATTATGGAACACAGAACAGCAAGAAATGTGCCATGAGGAAACCCGTGTAGCTGCTGCAGTCACTTCTTCAAATATATCATCGTGGCAAAACCGTGTGAGAAGCTTTCTAATACAAAGACATATCAGAAAAAGCCATTTCATATAAAGTTGGACTTCTCTGGGTGATTAATGCTACGTTCAACAAAGGAGACAGTGTCTGTCTAATTACATTAAATACTTATCTTCTAGGGATTGGCAGGGTGTTTCTGCTCAATGTCACTTTTCATGACAATGTAATGATAGATCCGTTTACTTACCAGTGCCATTAGCAAAAATTGTACTGTTTTCTCAACTGCCCTCATATCACAAAAATATTTGATTAACATACTGCAGCTTATCTAATACTCTAAGCAACATATTCTGCATAGTTTTCTCTCTATTAAAAGAACAAGATTACAGCTTGTAAAATTTTTATTGCACTCACACAGAAATAAATGAATAATGTGTGATAATAGTTCAAGTACCTTACTAGTTCACAGAACAGGTTTATTTGATTTAAAATATTAACTTGTACTTGAAATATTAAGATTTTGGGAGAAACAAGCAAATAAACAAAGTCAGTACTCTGAGGCCCTACTTCCCATCCAGGTCTTAGTTATTATTTCCTTTTCATTTCAGCACATGTTTTGAAACTTTTAATACCTTAGGGGAGGGAAGAAAAAAAAAAAAAAAGGGAAAAAAGCTTTCATTCCTTTGCTGAAAAATAGATATGGCCATCTCCCAAGTCTTTAAAATTCACCACATCGTGAACTGACTCTTTGGAGTCGTGCTACTGTGCCAACATCCAGCAAACAATAACCCTCTGGAAGAATGTACCCAGCCAAGGCAGTTTATATAGTAACAAGATAATTTCATAAACTTATATTGAAGAGCGAGGCTGTGATGTAACATTCTAGCAGTATATATCAGCTACCTGATATTTACTAACAAGGTTAAACTCCTATCTGTTTGTCTCAGCACTCTTCATAATTCACTTTTTAATGGATGGACAGGAAAAGTCAGCAGTGTATGGCACAGATCATTTCTGAAATAGGACAAGACAGCTTACGGCAGTAGCTGCTCCAAAACACCCTTCCTGCTCCCACACAATCACATCAAGCCTGGACTCTGCAGCTACAGGGCTTCAAATCTACTCATAAACCCTTCAGGGGCGTGTTTCTATTTCCAAGTAAACTGGTAAATTTGGAAAACAAAGCGTCCCGAGGAGGAGGAGGTGTCAAAGTCACCAAGAGAGCATCAGCTCTCAGCTGCTTGGGATGGCACTCCTGGGCAGGAGAAGGCATGTGGGGAGCTGCCTTCCCAGCAGGTGAGGAGGGAGGAAATCCACCCCATTTTGCTGAGGAATGAGGACACCCACCCCATTTTG